GGGCAGGTTGAAGGGAGGTGGCCTGCCTGATGTTGGGGGGCAGGTTGTTCCAGAGTTTGGGGCTCATGACTGAAAAAGCCCTATCTCCTAGAAAATGAGCTTCAGTCTTGATTTTGGAACGGCCAAAAGCAGCTGATCGGATGATCTCAGAGCCCGAGAGGGAACGTAAGGTTCCAGAAGCTCAGAGAGGTGAAGGGGTGCGAGGCCATTTAGGCACTTGAAGGTCAACAGAAGAATTTTAAAGACTATCCTGGTACGAACAGGGAGCCAGTGAAGGGAGGACAGAACTGGAGTGATATGTTCAGACCTACGAGTTCCGGTTAAAAGCCGAGCAGCAGCATTCTGGACGAGCTGAAGACGTGAGATGGAGGCCTGGCTGATCCCAGCATACAGTGCGTTGCAATAGTCCAATCGGGACAACACTGGCTTGAGCTTAGCTACCTGTCTGAGTTGGAAGAAGCTGTTCTGCAGAACAGAGTTGATTTGTTTGTCAAACTTGAAGTCAGAGTCTAAAACCCAGTCTGTGCTGATTTTAGCTCGACTCTTCAAAGAGCATCTTTTTGCCAGTATTTGTGTATTTGTTATATTTTGGTGGCCTGCGTTCCTTGTTTGGTTGGTTTTCTGTGTTTGGTCTCAGTTTCGACCATCACTTCATTTTTCTCAGTACTTTCCTTCAGTGCAGCTCCTGCTCCTCGGTCCTGCCCCGCCCACTCACACCTGCTCACCTGTTTCCCATCTCCTCACCAGCCTCAGCCCATTTACTCCATCCTCTCACCAGTTCACGATCGTGTACGTTCACCATGTTACCGTTGTTTTGGTTGGAAGTTGTTTGTTGCCAGATCAGCCTTTTGTTTTTAAATTAAGAGAGGTTTTTAGTTGTTTTCTACTCGAGTTCCTTCTGCGTACATATGCACTTCCTGGTTTCTAATGACCTGAACACGACACTTCTACCTGATTTTATTAAACTGGTAAAGTTCTGACTGCAGCAACGGGCTGATTCAAGATATCCCATGCTGTTAAAAAGTCAGTCAAAATCCCTAAACTTTATTCAGATTTGTTCTGATTCACATCTTTAAAAAATGTTCAACGTTTTACAAAAGTGATGTTTATAAAAAGACTTATTCATCGCTGGCTTTAAAGTTTACGTCTTTCACTGGATGAAGCTCTTGTTTAACAGAACTGATCCTGATTTATGCTTGTGGGCACACTTCCAAAGAAAACTTAAACCTCTGAATCATTCTGCAGTAATAGTGCGATTGAGATACAGATGAATACGTGATTACATCTGCATAACACTCTGCGCTGAGCAGAGTCACCGTTTATCGTTCGGCGCATTAACGCCGGTTTATTAATAAAGAACAACATGCTCCTGATTGTGTTGTGTCAGGGAGAGGCGTCGAAGGAGGTTTTGTGTTCTTTGTAGCTTGAATAATTTACGAGCGGTAACAGAGAGACGGGCGGTTTATAGAGGAGAGCCTGACGGTGATTTATCGGTGTGAAAAGCTGCTGCAGAAGAAAAGAAGGCTGTCATCTTCAGCCGCTGAGAGCAAACGAACGGCTGCTTTGTGAGTTTCGAGCCTAATAAGAGGTACAGTGCGTGATCGCAGCTGAAAGGTGGTCGTGACTGAGCCACGAGAACAACAAAGTCCCATCTGGAGACGACGTTCAAAAAGAGACTATGATCTTATTTCAGTGCTTGTCTGTCTGCAAATGTTTAGTAAACTTAGCTCAAAAGGTTTTACGCTGCACCCTGAGAAACGTTTGGCATTTTCCTCATGATTTTAGGAACAAATTAATCTTCGGAGATGATCTAATTTTTTTATTTGATGTCAAACTTATTCTTTCAGAAGGTTGATCATTTTACATCTCTGCTGAAAAAATGGTTCCCTTTAGTTCTAGTTGAGCAGAATAAATTGGCTTTAATTGTTTTATTAATGTTTCCATTAGTTGATTCTGTTTTAATGGTTTAATGGAAATTACAGCAGATTTATATACATATTTATATTTAGCCAGCTTGTGTGTTTAGGCTAGGCCTGTCGCGATAAACGATAAATCAATTAATCGCATGATAAATGAAAATTATCGACCTCATTTTCATTTATCGGCTTTATCGTTTCTTCGTGTCTCTCTTTCTACTGAAGACACTGGATGACTAAAGACTCAACTCCGGTGCTCTTCACTGACCCCTCTCTTTCTCTTTAAAATATGTTTTAACCGTCTAAAATCGTGTTTTTGGATCATTAAAAGTGGCTAAACTGAGAAGCTAAGCTACGAGCTAAGCTAACAGGCTGACCTCAGGAAAAAACCTCTGTCTTATCGAAATTCCAAAATTCACGGTTGAAACCCGTGCCTTCGTGTAAAAAATGTGTTTATCTCTTCAAAAATAAGCTGAGAACTTGTTTACTGTTTTTTTTTATTAAAAGCTTAGTGTGAAAAATGCTAAAGAGCTCAAATCACATTGAGCGTCCGCCCTTTTGAGAACTGAAAAACAAAAATGGAGAAACAGCCCATGTCATGTCAAAGGGCCTCCCTCCCATTTTTCTTAAAGAGACACGCAGCTTGCTCCCTCACTATCCATCTTTGGGTTCAAATGGTCTTATGCTGCCATCCAGTGGTCAAAAAAGTTTCTACACACAAAATTAACAATTTATTTCTGAAATTTTACAACAATTACTAATTATTGTCAAATTTCAAACAATATTATCACAATAATTTTTGAGACAATCGCCCAGCAAAATGTGTTATTGTGACAGGCCTAGTTTAGGCAGAAATAATTGTTTTATTTTAGAAGCTCACTGCCAGGTTTGAATAGAACAGCACATTTACAATTATTAAGGGGACACGGTGGCGCAGTTTGTAGAGCTGATGTCTCTCAGCGAGAAGGTCGCCGATTCAAATCCCAGCCCAGGACTTTCTGGGTGGAGTTTGCATGTTCTCTCCGTGCATGCGTGGGTTTTCTCCGAGTGCTCCGGTTTCTTTTCAGACCAAAAACATGCATGTTAGACTGTAACTCTAAATTGTCTCTAGGTGAGAGAGAAAGAGTGAATGGTTGTTTGTCTTGTTTGTCTCTATGTGTCCCTGTGATGGACTGGAGACCTGTCCAGGGTGTCCCCAGCCTCTCGCAGTGACTGCTGGATATGGGCACCAGTGACACCCGCGACCCGAAAAGTAATAATGGATGGATGGATGTTAGGGTGGCTGCCAAGGTGGGTACAGACAGACCTGCGGCTGACATCTTCTTTTCTTATACAAATATTTTGGGTACGAAATGACCTAAGCTGCAAAACTACAGTTTGGTGGAGGAATGAACTGATCTTGAGCCTATTCTTATAGACAGGGTGTGGTTACTTTGGTTAGCTCTCCAGATGTGCACTAAAGGAAAAGGTTTTGTATTTTTACAACGTGTAAATACTCCAATCAGCCATAACACGACGGACCTCAGAAAGCAGAGTGAAACGGATCATCTTAGGTTCTACAACAGACACCGACATCCTGATCTGACTGATCAGTGAATATGTGGACCTCACCGTCCAGGTTTATTTATGAGTGAACTTTGTCCCGCCTGTGGCTGATCGCAGCTACTGCTTAAAACAAACTGGTTTTAAATGCTTATAGTTTCCGCACAAACAAAGTCAAAACCAAAAGCATAATTAAAACCAAATTTTAAAAGCTTTTT